AACATGACTCAAAATTAACAAGAAATTGGCCTTTGAACCAAACCCTTGATCAAGAAATTTGATCTACACACCCAACAATTGAATCTTTGGAAACCAAGCTAGACATAGGTTCACATGATCACTAGAAGGTATTTAAAACCTAGACAACACTCGGGAACGATCCCACGCATTGCCACACGCGGCGGAAGCCAAGATGGAGGGTTTACAAACTCCGAATTTCAACATTAACTAGAGGAGCTCAAATTTACGTGGTAGCTAGAGCTCAACAAGGGAAACACTTTTCACAACTAGGCTGGCGATAAATTCTAACCGGAAACAGTCCAATTTCATCGAAGAAAACCGGATTTCTAGGTGTTCTAAACACCCAACTCTAAAATGAATACGAAAGCACAAACTAAGCATATCCACTTGAAGATTATGAAGAGTAGATGAAGTTTCATACCTCACTCGAAGGAAATCGTTGCCGAAATCGCCGGAAAGATGATAAATCCGCCGGCAAGGTCGTGGACTTTGCGACCTCGAACTGCACGGATGGAAAAAGAAATGGGAAAATATAAAATCACAGAGATGTAGAGCTCGTCAAGAGCTTTCCAGGGACACCAAGATCATCCAAAACGGAGCTCGGATGAAAAAGATACAAGCGGTTCAAGTTTGGTGGGTTTATGGGTCAAATTTCCCCCTAAAACGGTTTTGTGCAGTTTCCTCTCCCATTTTCTGAAATCCCCCCAATTTATAGCATTTTGGTAATATAACCAAAATGCCACCAACTTCAAACGACTCTAACTTCTCCGTTCAGACTCGGAAATAAGATCTGTTTGCGCCTACGCGCTCATGGAATCGAACTCTACCTAACCAATGCAAGAGTTGACCAAAAAGGTCGATAAAATTAGAAATGACTAAAGTACCCCTCGCTTCGTTTTCTTAAATTTGGAGAAATAAAGAACTAGTTCCAATCAAATCTTCGAAATACGTCAAGAATAAAATAAAATAATAATTTTGGGGACGGGATATCACAGAAGAGGACAACCCTGGCGGTCCAGGGTCACGACGGAGAGGTCCAGGTGGTGGTTGATGGTTCTCGCCGAAGGGAATGGGTGCTTGTGTGTGTGTGTGTGTGAGGTGCTACGGGGATGAGGTTTCAAAGAGAGTGGAGAGGGAGAGATAAAGGAGAGTGAGAGCTGAAGGAGAGAAAGAGAGCTCAGGGGAGAACAGAGAGGAGAGAGGCCAGGGAACACAAAGACAAGTTGGACCCCCTGGGCACACCTATTAAGGCCCTAAAAATAATTTTTAAATAAAAACCCAAAACTACCTTTAAAGTCGGGGGTGGGGTGTAACACAGCATACATCGAACAGCTCAAGAAGGGTTACATCAAAGGAGACAATGCCAAGCATATTGCGCTGAAGTTCTTCTTTTCACATCAGCAACAAAAGCATCAAAAGATTGAAGTCACGCAAATCCCTTCACAAGACAATTTGGCCGACTTCTTTACCAAATCACTGTCGAAAACGACGTTTTAGAAGCTTGTTTATGAAATTGGTATGTGTAAACTTTTTGAGTTGTAACTCTGCTATTTCTCTTTGGAATTGTGTCAAACTTGAGGGAGTATCCTGAAGATACTTGCTTGATCTTAATGTACTCTTTTTCCTACGATTAGGAGCATTTTTCCACTGGTTTTTTGCTACCTAACTAGGTTTTAATGAGGCACCCACCTTGGGCTAGTTATATCCCTGATGACATCTCATAGACGTTTCTTTTGACTTTGCATTTCTCATACATTTTTCCTTAGATCGTGGATTTTGTCCATACTCAGGTTTTTGCCATAGCCTTAGGGTTTTTTTAGTGAGACTTACTACTTATGTAAGTTCCTACCTTATTGAGAATAAGCGTTGTTCCTTAGAATCAGTGCCGATGAGTCGACTTCCTCAACTTTTGCATGATGTTAAATCTACCTTGAGTATTTACACACTCAAGGGGGAGTGTTGTAAACATTCCTAGTTGAAGTGTGATTGTGTAAATCCTAGATTATATTTGATTCTAGTTATCCTTTCCTATAACGATTTGTATTACTTTGGGAAGAAGGAATATCTTCCCTCTTTTACTACTATGAATAAAGGCACAATGTAGGAGGGATAACAACACACATTCCCCTACAATTCTACAAACACATCTCTCTCGATCTCTCTCTACCACCGGCCCCCTGTTACCTTGTCAGATAAAATAGGCTACAACAAAAACTTAATTTTCTAAAATTTTCAAATCATAAAAAAAACTTAATTTAACATGCAAAAGCCAATTGTCACACGCGTAAGTATGTGACAAGAGGCTAGTTAAGTTGAAGTTAAAGAAGAAATTTTAGTAAAAATTAAGTAAAGGATAAAAATGAAACAATCAGAATTGTTTTTGGGTTACGGTCTTTGGTGCTCGTGTTATTTTTATTAAATGTTTTTTCTATTAATTTTAGAGTGCTATTAAGTCTCATCTCATTGTTCTATTTTCCCACCCATCTTTTAATAAAATATTAAGGCGCAATTTTTTTTGTGGTCCTTGTGGTGACACGCCACTTTTAATATGACCCTTGTGGTGAAAAAGCTTTTAATTAAACCCCCGTGGTGAGCCCTGTTAGCAATTGAGGTCCAAATCCAAAGTTCCGTTAGTCTTCCGTTAAATAAAATCATGTGACTATCACATGTGGATCGGTCAAAATTAATTTATTTATTTTGGAAAATAAAAAAAATAAAAACATGATTGAATTAAAATAAAATTGCAAATAAAAGAAACTTGAAAAGATATATAAATAAAAAATATAAAAAAAACCAACAATTCCCGTATCTCATCTCAGGCTCCCAGCCACCACCATAGCCACTAGTGGACCTCCTTGACCGTCACTAACCATCACCCTAATTTGATAGCACATGTATATCAACCTATATAATGTAGAAAAATCACACATATACAAGAATAACTTAAAGAGTTAAAGACAATGGGTGGAATGCAGCATATATGCATTCAGATGAGTGAAAGGATTGTAGAATTAAAGACAATGGGTGAAAGGCATTGCAGAAAATTCAATCTTCAGGTCTGCCATCCGCATATGAACTTCAAGAGCGTAAGAACGTTAAAGAACTACAATTCAAAGAAGATTAAGAAAAAAATTGAAAGGTTGTGTACTCACTGACTAGGGCTTGCATAAAACCACATTACCAATTAAAGACAAAACCGAAAGGCATTTATGCATTCAAACTGATACAAATTGATACAAGAATGAAAATTTAAGTAAGACTAAGACTCTAACTCATGATCAAAGACGTGTTGGCATTGAAAAAAAAAAACAATGGTATATTAGAAGTATTAGGATTTCCAAACAAAATTAAATCAATTCTAAGAAATTAGGCACGACTTCACCTTCACCTCTTCTCCTAGCCATAGACATGGTTTTACAGGTTTAGTTTCAATCTTCGTGTTCAAGCTTTTTTTTTCTTTTTTCTTTTCCTGTAAAATCTAATTTCAATTAAACCCTAAATTATACTAGATGGCCATTGAATAACATGTAATTCAAATTGAAATGATGAATTTGATCCTTCATGTGATAGTCACATGAGTTCATTTAACGAAGGACTAACGGAAATTTGGATTTGGACCTCAATTACTAACAACACCCACCACAAGGGTTTAATTAAAAGCTTTTTTACCACAGGATCACATTAAAAGTGGCATGTCACCACAAGGATCATGAAAAAAACTTGGCCAAATATTAATAACTTGTTTACTCTTATAGAAAAAAGAACTTTAAACCCTTACCCCGTTTTTCTCGCCCCTTTGCTTTTCTCTCTTCGGCTTCAACTCTTCTCGGCTACACCGACCGCCACGGCATCTCCATAGATGGCCACCGTCTCTCTCTCTCTCTCTCTCTCGCGTTCTCTCTTCGTCCCTAATAAACGCCATGAACATGATGGCACTTTTTAGGCGTCATAGAATTTTTTTTTTTATGGCATTTGATCAACGCCGTAAATCTCTCTTTCTCTCTCTCTGAATTTGACTTTTCACCCATTTCACTCTATCTTCGAATCTGCAATTTTTCTTTAAAGTTCATTAGATTAGGTTCCATCCAATTTTCTAGGCAGCTCATTGTTGAGTGTACTTGGAATTTTTCAAAATTTTGGAAATCTGAATTTAGAAAATTCTTCAAAATTTTTCAGAAATTTTTGTTTTATTAAATTAGTTTCCATCCAATCATCTACTTTGTCCTATTGACTTGCAGTATGTTGCTAGAAAGGAAGTTCAAGGAGGGTGGTGGAAATCGGACAATGGAACTGTAGGGTGAAGGCTATTTTAGGATTTATAGGGGGTGGGAAATAAGATTTTAGTTTTTTTTTTTTTTTTAATTTTTATGGTGGATGAGTTTATAATGTAGGTGAAAAAATAAGACATTGGAGTGGCTCTATCAACAATAGCCACATGGGCCTTGGCCAATTTCCTTTTTCTGTCTTTTTTTTTTGTTTTTAATTTTATTTATTCAATAACATGGTAATACCATTACCAACTAGGGGTTCTTCATTTTTCATTATTATTTTTTATTTGACATATTTATGTATTTTTCAATTTAAATCCATTGCCATTGACCCTTTTCTCCACCTTAGCAAACTTTCCTCATTAGGATGACATCAATTTTAGTTAGATGGAAGGGAAATAAGACATTTTCAATGGGAAATTACTTATATTAATGGAGAATTTCACTGGGGTGCTCCTATTTCCCTTCCATTGTTCCTTCCTTCTTAATTAAAAGGGATTTCAGTACATATAAGAAAAATGATCCTCTCCGGATCCCTTCCTCCTAATCTACAAAATCCATTCTGTTGAAAATTGATCCAACGGCTACAAACAAGGACTCACTTTAAAAGTTATAATAACTTCAGCCGTTGAATCAAATTTCAACGGCACGGATTTCTTGATTTGGTGGATTAGGAGGAAGGGATCCGGAGAGGATTCCCTTTCCTACATATAAATTCATAACTCAGCCATATATATTCAAAATCCGTCTTTAATTACATTTTACTGAATCACTCATACATGTCTACTCTTTGTTCTTTATTCAGAAACATATACCAGAAAGAAAATGAACAAACAGATATTCGGATTTGCATTCAAACGAGTCCCATCCCCTAACCGCGCGACAAGGATGCTTCCTAGGCTGAACTCAAACCTCTAATTTCAAAACTTCATGTTGTGTGCCACATCTTCTTAATTTCCTTTTCGGAGTTTCGTATCAAGTCTATTGGTCAGAAGCCAGAGTTTTTTTCAACTCTTTCTTGTTCACCTGCGATCAGATATACAATGTTAATACGCCTTACAAGTCTACGAGTAAATAAACAAGGGAGTACAATGCTTTTACAGAAAACATGGAAATCAAAAGGTAAATTACCTTTCCCATAGCATTCCGAGGTAGTGAATCCCACAGAATCAGTCGACTTGGTATCTGGAAACGTGTAATGTAGATCCCGTTATTTGTAGTGCGAATATAGTTCCATTATTTGAAATATATGTGTTTGTAAAGTATACGTTAAATGCTTTTTCATCAAGAATTTGTTCAGGTAATACTGTTTTAATCCCCCACCACCTTCCATTAACCCTCCGCAATTACAAAAGAGGAATAAAGGTACATGGATGAAGGCGGGGAACTTGACCTAACAACTTCATACGCTAAAAGGCATAGTGGAATTGCCGACTTTCCCTCATGCTGACAATAAATAGTGCTGGAGCTTTTGGAAAGGGGCTTTGTGTCATGAGATGAGCATTTGGAAGTTAATCATGATTCATGGTATCATCAGTCATGATTATTGAATGTTAATAACTAGATAACTGAAGCGAAGGCTACTATCGACAAAACTAGAGTGGTCTTATAGCTCTACTTGGATGAAGAAAAACAAAAAACGAATGATGATCAATAATACCTTGTATGGCGCAAGTTTGTCTTTTGCCCAGAAGGATAGTTCCTCCAAGCTTATAGCAGGTTTCAGTTCTTCCTTTTGCTTTCTCTTTGTTTCCACCTCTGGCACAATTATTGCACAAACAACTTCTCCATAGTCTTTGTCCGGTAAGCCCAACACACAACACTCCTCCACAGCTGGGTGCTACACAAAAACGGGTGGTTTTAGTTAGAAAGATTCAATGCTTCATTTAGCACTGCACTTGTTTTTTGTTCCTACAGATCGACTCGCAAGGAAAATGAAATTGTTGCACATCTATAACAAAACAGCCTAAACAGGAATATAGGTGAAAAAAACCCACCTCTAAAAGAACTGATTCAATTTCTAACGCAGATAACTTGTATCCACCGACCTTCATGATATCAGCACTGGTACCTGATAAACGTCAAAAAAAAAAAAAAATGGGAGAGGAGAGAAGAAAAATGAATTCATAAGTTAGAGATCCTTTAAGTATCTGCATTGTTAACCAGAAGCAACAAAATCACAGGGACGCGACGAATTTTTTATGCCATCATTTTTTTAATGGTCCATCTCGTACAAGGATAATCTGAGACTTGTAAAAGTAAAAATTGAAAGAATGCATCAATTGGAGTATCATGCGCGAGTTATAGATATCCTTACGTCCTAATATGATGTAGTACCCATCTTCATCCACTGTACCAGCATCTCCAGTTCTGAAGTATCCATCACTTGTAAATGATTGCTTTGTTACCTAGACAACGACCACAACGGCGTAAGAGAAATTTGTTGAGACCCTTCAAAATATCATTCTGCCATATATGTATAATAGATATACAACCATATCTGCGCAAGGTGTGTGCGTGTGTGAGTGGGTGTGCGGTGTATGGGTATTTTATCGCACGTAGCATCAACTTTATGATATGAGAAATTACCTCAGGAAGCTTCCAATATTCCTTGAATAATGAAGGACTTTTGACACACAGCTCACCAACACCTGTAGTATCACTTCCACTTTCATCTTCAGCAACAATCTTTACCTATAACAGACGATGATTTATATAGACAAAGTCCAACATAAATATACGTGTGTGTATATATAATATGTATATAATTTGTAGTTACTTCTTGTTAAGATGGTATAAACTCCAACCTGTGAGACATGACACCACATTCTATCAACAATTTACTAAATGTTTCGAGGACCAGTCTAATTATTCTTTGTGAATAAGCAACAAGAAGTCCACCAATTAAATGCTCATGATTTCTCTATTATCAGTGGTTTCCTTCAGTTCGAGGGCCACTATTAAAAATTCTGTATAAGCAAAAGCTTCCTTCACAAGGCTTTCAAAAGTTAAACTGCTACCAGAAGTATATTTTGCAAACTGTAGCCCACTCACCTCCACAGCCGGAAATGGTTTTCCTACCGTGCCTGCTTTCCGCTCACCTCTTAAGGGGTTTGATATTGCCATGACAAACTAAAAACATCAGAAACCATATATATATAAGCTTAGCTTATCTTTTCAGTTTGGAAAATATTAAACAGCATGAACCTCTTCAAAAAGTGATAATAGTAATTAAAAGTAAATGAAACTAGAAATCACTTACCTCTGTCATGCCATAACGTTCCAAAAGACGATGTCCTGTAATGGTTTCCCATTTTTGCATTACAGGAAGAGGGAGTGCAGAGGAACCACACATCTATGAGAAAGACATAAGGTTCTTAGCCATGGGCATTCACCAAAGACTCTAATACAGAGGAAGGACCAAATCTGAATTTAAAGAACAATTTGCACAACAATAGGGTAGTTCACTGCAGGGGTTATAGCTGTTAGTATCTAAATAATAGATCGTCAAATGCATTTCCAGTAAAGATCCAGTAATAAATATTAAAAAAAAAACATCTTACTTCATACTACAACTTAAAAACAAAAATGTTACTGGGGCAAGAAACAGCTTTCAGGCTACTTACCATTAGACGCAACTGTTTTGCAGCATAGGCAGAGGCAACTTTTAGCTCTCGATCCATTGCGTCGTGAGCTTGTATCAATCGAGCATACATGGTTGGAACCTACACAAAACAAAGCTAATATAACTTGCAGTCCAACTAAATAAAGATAATTATTTTGCAACTAAACAAGTATGCAGAGACAAGCAATGCAATACATGCATAACAAGTTTACACTTCAATTTACGTATTGAAGATTATAAAACAAATGAACAACCAGCAGATAACTGATATAAGACCACATTTCCCAAAGTTTTGAATTCCAAGGAAATTATAATATATTACACCCTGCAATAGACCTTCATGTTGCATAGATAGCGAGTTTCTTTAGCATTAAAATCCTTGACATACAAAGTGCACTTACTCCAGTAAAGACCGTTATGCCATCATCTGCATTAGATCCACTAATTGGATATGCTTCCCGCCACCTCTGCCAAATACCCCTTACGCTAAATTTTGGCATAAACTCAACCTTCAACAACACAAACAGAACAACTAGAACTGTCATGAATAGCTCAGCAAGACATGTGCACAAAAACATGCACGCACCGAAGAAGACAATGGAAAAGCCTACAATTGACAAAGCAACCAAAGGAAAAAAAAAAAAAAAAAACTCTTACCGTGGAACCTGCATAGAGGGGAGCAAGTACAGCATTGAAAAGCCCATGTACATGTATTTTATAGGTCAAGGATCCATTAAAGCATGTTTCAAACCACTTATCCAATCCACATACCAACTAGATCCACAATTAAAAATTTCAAATCAAATTTCTAACAGAAACTTGAAGACATCAGCTAAAAGTAAACTGAGACTGCATTTGAAAACTATACGATTTTGCAAGCAAATACACAAAAAAGCTGAAGGATATGATGTAGAGGTAAACAATTCAAAAACTGATCAGCAGATGTATACCCCCAAGCTTCTGCTAAGGTTTGGACCTGAAATTGAGTCAACATCAGGGCAAAATTGAGAACCATAAGTGACACCAATCAATATCCTACACCTAACCAGACAACTATTCAAACAAAGTATAGCTTAATCTTTGCTTGCAAGGATAGATAAAGTGCATACTTGTGCACTGATGCTTTTGTGTGTGTGAACAACTCCTTTCGGTTTTCCCGTTGTGCCACTAGTGTATATGACTAATGCAGGATCCTCACCTGTGCAACAAAAAATGACAGCATGACAATAAAAATGACAGCATCCCAATACAGAAAATAAATTCACATAATTTTTAAATATGAAGTATCTCTTACTTGTTTGTTTTATATTCCGGTGAAAAATTGCATCTGCATCTATTCCTAAACTACCAGCTGCACTTTCTGGTGAAGAACTACTGGGAACTGGTGGAATAAGAGAGGTTTGGGCAGCACATTTAGCAGCAACATTTTCCATGAGTTGCATATGATCTTCAGTACTCAGTATCATTGAGACGTCCTGTAAATATAGATAATGATTAAAGGCCGGTAGATTTTTGACCAAAACAAAAGACAAAAAGGTAGGATGAAGATAAGGAATGGCGGCATGAATTAAGACTAGTTAGTGCATATATAGCCTTTTCTATTTCCAACTTAGGACATGTGTTTTTTCAGAGATCATACCAAGTTAATCTATACAGCAAGCTTTCTGAGTCTACACTTTAAAGAAAATTTAGAAACGAAAATACAGTAGAAACTCTTATCAAAATACTAGTATGGTATCCGGCTGACATAATTTGGTTTGAATATGAACAACAACATTATTGCTCAAAACCCATGTCCACTCCAACAGGTTTAAATCCAAGATTCAAAATTTAGAGATCATGAAAAATATGTTGCATCCATAAAAGAAAGAGAATAATTTTTAATAAGAAACTATTTCAATTAATAGTGCTGAAAAAAAAAAAAAAAGTTGTTAGAGACGGAAAAGTAAAAAGACGGGGATATGGGGACTCACTGAGTCATTTATGACATGCAAGAGCTCAGCTTCAGGATAGCCGAGAGCAAGTGGAACTGCAACACCTCCACAAAGCCATGTCCCAAGTATACCAGCAACAAACTCAGCTGAGGGCTTAGCCACAATTCCTATTCTAGCCCCTCCAAGATGCCCTTGTCCTTTCCCACCATCAATCAATGCTGCAGAAGTCTGTACACGAAAGACACCAAAGATTAAGCTAAAATATTGTTCCGAAGGGGAAGAAGGGGGTGGAGGAGGAGGGAGGAGGAGGGGGAAATAATAAATATTCAAACTAAAACTCACAGCAATAAATTCACCGGCAGATAACAATCTGGATATCCTAGATGCAGATGAGATTAGTTGGTTGTAACTGTAACTCTTGTGATCAGATCGAATAGCAATATTATCATGAGTATCAGACCCTTGATTAGCTACCCTTGACTCCTCCATATATGAACCAGATTGCAATGCTGCAATGGATTGAAAATGCAAAAAATAAAAATAAATAGAAAACTAAGTTTGTAACAAAAATAAATACATAAACATCTAATTTCTAGCTTCATATAGGATAATGATTCACTTCAGCCCTTGCAACAAAACAATCAATAAGCAAATATTGCACCTGCAATTTTGATAGAGACATAACAACAAGATTCTTTACAAATTATGGTATAACATGTATCTCCAAACTTAATTCCGCAGTGTAACTTGAAAACTGATTTCCAAATCATATTCACAACAAAGTGCACTCCTAGCAGATACAAATTTTGGAGAAAGAGTGAAGGACATTTGAAGGGGCACATCGTGTTTATCCAAAAACTGGTGTATCTGATAGAAGATATCAACAATCAAATATCGTGCTCAAAGGAATACAGTAGATTTGTTCAACTAGAAGCATCCAATCCAACTGTATTTTCTTATCTTATTTCGGTCCGATTACAGAGGTAAACTCAACTTTCCTGGGGTAAAACTCTTAAAATGTGAAGGACTTTTTATTAGTTGGATTAAAGCTAGGAATTCAATACTGAAAATAATTCAGAGCAAAACAGTGGCAAAATCTTGTTTGTGTTGCTACGAAAACATCGGAAAGAAAAGCAATTGGTCCGTCTGGAAGAGAATTAAAACCCAAATTTCCCACAAATGATTCGTCCTTAATATTCACATACAACAAATATCAATCCTCTGTTTGATGACCCACTGAAAACATATTATACGAAAACCCTTCACGATGGACCACAATCCAGAAAACTGAAAAACCCCAATCCTATCCAGATCTGTCCTTCCCTCCAATTTTTCCCAAGAACAGAAAAAATGACAGCATTTCCCCTCATTTTCTTGCGTTCTCTCCAACTTTCTCAGCAACCAAACAAGCACACTGGAACTAATAAACCAACAACATAGAGTAACGAACTTACAGGAGAAATGCGGGGAGTGTGACCAGCAGAGCAAGGGGTGGGTGCGTCTAAGAGAAGGTGGGTAGGAGGAGGAGAAGAAGAGTGACCTCAAAAGTTGATGGTTGAGGTGATTAAATGGCGCGGTGGATCGCAAATACAGGTGGAGGTGGAGCATATTAATGGGTGGCAGATTTAGGTGTGTGTCACTGTCAGTGAATAATCAATCAGTTGATGTTGGTTGTTGGAGTCGTAGGTGGAGCGGAGATTGGTTTGGTCGCCATTCAAACCTCACTCGAGAAGTTCACGGTTTGGTTTGTGAAGGGCTTGTATACGTACGAGATGCTGCTATAAAAACACGCAACTTTGCGAGGGGACCCGTCATTACATGTGTGGTTAATGCCTTGGTTTGGCTTGTGATGGTAGGCAATTTGGTATTTGATAGCTTTTTACTAGAACGGTTTTATTGGGTTTTGAAAATAGCAAGCTGTAAGGTAAACCACTTGAACGTTTGGTAAATTGTATTTGCAAGTGTTCTAAATATGCAAAATAGTTTCATGACATTTGGATTTTTTAGCCAAAATAATTCTTGATATTGGTAGAACTCCTTATTTTGGTCTTTTTGAATTTTATAGAAGTAGTCGCTGAGTTTATTCACCATTAATCATTTTGGTCTTTCATGAAAATTCTTCATTAAATAAAGATAAAACGACAAAAAAACTCTCAATTTTGTCAAATCATTTTGGCCCATTACTTTTTTCAATTGAGAGTATTTTGTCATTGCAGTCCTTATTTAACATAACGCTTTACAGAAGGACTGAAATGATGAATGCTGGACAAACTCAAGAATCACTTCTATCGATTTCAACTATTAGGGACCAAAGTGAGGAGTTATGTCAATCTTAAGAATCATTTTGGTTAAAAAGTCTAACATTTGGTTGAAATTGACTTGCTTTTGTGGTTAAGAGGTGGGTGGCAGAGGTAGTGGAAGGTCATTGGGTGGCGATGATGGTCAATGGTGTTAGGGTGGCATGGTGGCAGAAATAGTGATGAAGGTTGTACGCTAGTCATATTTTTGTGGTGGTTGAAATGGTTAATTGTCATGTAAAGGCAACATTGATTGTGTGGTAATGGCAACAACAGTGGTGGGTGGTGGGGGTGCAAATGGTGGAAAGTATGTTTGCCGCCAAATTTTTAAGGGTGTGTTTGTTTGCCCTCACTAACTTTCATTGCATATGATTGAACTAAGTGTTAGTATAGTCCCTTACTTGCTTCTCGCATGGACTAGCTTTAATGAGACTTGCCTCGACTAAACTCAATTAAACGCTTCGCTAGAGGGTCTTAGAGAGACTCCCCGCAATCGAGCACACCGCTAATACCAACTCTGCTTCACTTCGCCCCTCCCATCTACTTCTCCCTCGCTTCCTAGAACCATTTGAAACCAAATCCAACACCCAAAGTTCGAACCTAGAATACCCAGAAACCCCAAAAAGATTTGCAGTAGGATGAGCTTGAAATCAACGACTACAGACTTTCCCCATCTCCAGAAAATCCTGCTTGCAGACCTTCCTCATCTCCCACCTTTGAACCCAATCACACATGCACTTAGCCTCCAACTCCTAAATTTTCAATCTCTTTCTTGCCTTATCCCTCTCCTTCATCTCAGAAAAGTCACCAAGTCTACAATCACCCTCAGCCACCCACTTCCCAAACCAGTAGCCACCTCTAAATCTCTCTCTCATCTCTCTCTAAACTGATATATCTATTATATTATATAAAGTTTGTTAATTATATTGCTTTTTAATCCCATTGCAAATGGCTATGTATCACAATGGTGGAAAGGTGTTTGAACCCTTGCATGAGGGCATGGGCTCAATCCCCATTAGTGGCTAATCTAATATCTAATCTAACAAAATTTATCGTTTGACCAAAAAAAATCCTACTATACCAAACGCTTTACTAAGTCAATCCAGCCTTGTTCACGTCATTAGTTGAATATTAATGGGGAGTTTTCAATTGGGATTTTGAGGGATTTTAATGGTTAATTGATTTCTAGAGATTTGTTATAAATTTTGAGTGAATTCCCTCAAAATTCTTAGGGGTATAGGTGAAATTGAGAATGTTTAAAATACACCACAAGATCTTTCTAATTCCCTGATTTTTTTAAAATGCTTTAAAATCATTTTCTAATTGAATATACCTAAAATTTTATAATTGAAAAACTTACTTAATTATTCTCAAATATGTTCTTTTAAATATTTTTCTTATATTTCTACTTTTTTTTTAACTTGTACAATATTCTTTCTAATTTAATTTGTACCTATATATAACTCTTTTTGCACATCTGATTTTTTTTTAACTATGATTTGGACCCGCACTTTTAAATTGTGCTATTTACCATATTTTTTTAATGGGGTGTTTTCATGTGGGCCCAATTTTACAAACCTATTTTGAATGGAAACCACTAATATTACACAAACAAAAATAGGGTCTAGTAAGTACAACAATCATCCATGTCAGCAATTAAAGTGCACATAATTTAAAAAAAAAATTTACATCAATTGTCATTAAATGTTTTATCATGACTCTTGCAAAGATAAGTTACAAATTAAATCTCATTGTTTCTTCAAAAACCTTATTTGACTTTCAAATTTTTCGCATTTCCTACGAATTCCTAACCATAATTTGAGTTTTAAATTTGTATGAAAACTATAAAGTTCTTCTCTGTAGAGGATGAAAACAAAATAGACGAATATCTAATTTCAGTTTTCTAGTATTTGATGCCTGGATAAGAGGTATTGCAATTTCTCACATTATTTGAATTTGATACATGATCATATGATTTTGTTTTTCTAGTTTATGGTTTGGTGATTTGGGTTTTTGTTTTTTATCTTGATACTTGGATAATATGTACTACACTCCATCGTCCAATTTCAATACAAGTATTTGATACCTAATTAGTTTTGTTTTTCTTGTCTTCTGTTTTAGCTGTTTGGATTTATGCTTTTTTTATTTGTGATGTTTGATACCTAGATTACAGACATTGCAGTTCTTTAACCAATTTCAATACGATATGTATTGATACCGAACATCTCACTTTGTTTATATGGTTGTTTAGTTTGGTGTTTTTGGTATTTGAAACCTGGATTATAGGTAGTTAAAATATAAATATAGTTTAGCCTATAAAGGTACTTATATGATAATTAGTATAGATTGTTAGATTAGTCTCTTTTTATCATTACTTGTATAAATATGATAGGTAGTTTGGCTTGATATGTCATCCTTTTTTTTTTTTTTTGGCATTATTTAATATGTTTTGGGATAGTGTTGTTTACACCATACTTTGTTTTGCTTGTAGTTGAAGATGTTTTGCATAGAGAGAGGAAAAAAAAAAGCCTGGAGCACATGTCTTTTGAACTTTCGTCGTGTTATGGAAGAAATGAGAAGTAGTGTGACAAATATGTATCTGAAGTTAACGAGTCGTACACCCTTCAGGGGGTTGTTCAAAGCGTACCATGATAACTTGATCATTGATGGTGCTTCCAGAAATGGGATGCAAATATCGTGTTTATATTGAAGTGCTACGACCTAGTACAAAAAATATTTAATTTTGGTAGAATAACTGCAACAATAATTGCCAAAGATATAGCTGAGATTTTTGGTTTGCCTGATGAAAGGAATAGATCAACCTCAATAGTAGGAAAAGAATAAGTGTGTTTACAAGTTTTTATGAGAAAGGTCTTGCAGACATCAAATATATAAGTAAGAAGATTGGAAGAAAGGATTTTGAGAGTGGTTAAGTTGCATGGTAGTGTTCTTGAGGGTGATTTTGTGCTATTGGTTTGTTTATATTTTTGTTTGACATTGTTTTTCAGTACGAGTGAAAATAATTGATTAGTATGGGAGAACATTAGTAAAGTGTAACTGGTTGTGTAATTGGATCATTGGTATGCTAATCTATATATTAATTCATCTTCTTCTATTTGTGTATGATGAAATAACATTTTAATATGTTATTGATGCAATTTTGGTTTTAAGAGTGTGCTCATTTGATAAATCCAATTAGTGGAAGGGAGCATATGCCTCTTAAGGTTGTTAAATAGAACTTGTTGAATTGTATGCAAAGATGAAAATTATGAAAATCTATGAGTTGGAGTTATGTTGTTTTTTTAACACATTATGTAACTAAAACCTTATGTGCTTTAATAAAAATAATCATGGTGTGTTTATGTTAAAGGAAGTTGGACAAGTAGGTGGGGGCAATCTAAAAAAAAATCCTAGAAAAGAGAAAAAAATTACACAAGTACATTCAATGGTGGGGGCGGGGATAAAAGTGGAGCCTCACAAAATGTCAGATGAATAATTTTCCCAATATTTCAGATAATGCCTTCCGAATTTATGGAAAGCAATGATCCGTAATGATGTTCTCACTCTTGTATGAGGGAGGTGTTAGTCGACATATATTTGTCATTTTTATAATTATTTGACATAGATAACGATGAATACAATTATATTTTGATGAAAGGTTTACAAATGATTCATAAATGTTTGGTTCTTTATGTAGGTAGTGATTCTTTCTTCAAGATTTTGGGTGACAACCAGGTAGGGTTACAAAAGATCAGTTGAAATATGAGTTTTATGCCGACATTTGCGTGGGTGAGTTTAGTTCTTTAAACATTGTAGTTGTAGTATGTATTTTGATGCTTTCTACTTAAGAATTATATTGGTGTTTCATGATATTTTGATGGCTTTTATTATTCTTAACATCTTGTTTATACTAGAAGAAAAAGTTTATCTACCATGGTAAATGTCGTGGCAGGTTGCAATCCACCAAAGGCAAGGTGTTTGTTAGTAATTTGGACATGATAAAAACTTTTAGTTTTGACCATCAACAATACCCGTTGTCATATGCGATGTAACCATGGATTGTGTATATGGCAGATTGGGATCTAACACCACATGTTATGGCCGTTTGTGAGTTACAAATTGACCACCGACAATGCCCGTTATAAAAAAAAAAAATTCCAAAATAAAATAAAATAAAAATTGTTTAATAATAAATGTACAAATTTTTTTTTTAAATTGCACATTAACTTCATAAAAATTCACATATTCAAATCTTACACTAAAGCTAACAACAAAACCAATGAATTACAGTAATAAATACCAAACCGTTATACTACAATTATGTACCAAAAGATGTACATACTTTGTTTCATACTCTAAAACAAAACTTAAGCCCTAGTTTCAAACTTGGTCCTCCAATGATATTCGTTTTCTTTTCATTCGTTACACACATCTCCAACATGACAATACCCAATTCAAATTTGCAAGTGCCTGTAAATATAGTCTTTAATATTTGAGTTATAATCCTTCATGGATTATAACCACCAACCACCTATGAGATAAAGAAGGAGAAATATAAGCTTATAAATCAAAAACTCATGTCTCAAAGACACATAAAAATTCGAATCCATGATCAGTTACACAAAATGCAAGCAATTATGATATAATGAAAAGGGATAACCCTACACTATTTTCAGCAAGAAAGGTCGTCTGAAACCAAATCATGCAGAAGATTTGGTGGTGGCAAAGCCTTAGCTTTGTAGTTCCACCGCTTTTATCCCAATCGCCGCCCTAGTGCGATGTATGTTTTCGAATAAGCAACGACAACTAAAAATAAACAAATAACAAATAACGTAAATACTCCGTCATCTCAACATATACATCTGAATATTATGATCAGTATCATCAATTACTCATTAACATACCTTTGTATGCGATCCCTCCCTCTCAAGACTGTTGTGATATAAAAGTGAACATAAGAATTTCTAGTATGCACTCTAACCACTGCACGATCACAAAGAGTAAAATCATCAATAAATTAATAAAACAACTTGCATAATGAAATTTGAAGATTCAAAGAATTTTTATGAATTAAAATAAAATGTTGGTGTTGCTATATTTTATGGGTGGTTTTATTGGAACAGCTGGGTTGCGAAGATGTGCAAGTATAAAAGAAAGTAAAAAAGATTGAGGAAATGGTAAAGATTTCACTTAAATTTGTGTGAGAATATTGTGAATTTCAAAGCTTGAATATTTTTTTTTTTTTTTTTGACATAGTGTGTGTAACTGCACCATATTTAACATCCGTGGTCAATAAAACATAAGGTGTGGTTATGGAACAAATGTTTTGTGCTATATTTGGTACGCGCAGGACAGAACAGGACAATTGTTCCAATCTGCGTCTGGTAAGCACATGACGGAATTGAACCAAAAGATTAAATGACTAATACACCCCTATTTTGTCTATTGTTTGGTACAATGTTTATGCAATGGGATGAAACGAGACAAGACAATTTTTTTAGGTGTTCATATTTGAGCACATATGTTTATTTATGATATATTTTTTTTACACTAGCACTAACTGAATATCAATACTTTATTTTAAAAAGCATTAGGTAATGAAGAATTTTGATATATTGATTGCAATATAGATAGTGCTCGAACATTCGTTCTTACTTAAAAAAAATGAAATATCCGTAACTTAAACATGAAATATCTGAAATTAAACATTCGTCCTTACTTTAGAAAAATAAAATAAAATAATGTCTTACTAAAACATAATGAAAGCACCACACAGTAATATAGTTATCATACTAAACCCCAAAATGGTCAAAGGTAATCCACAAACCTCTTAATGAAATCCGGCTTGTGTGAGTCATCCAAGGTACACCAAATACGCATCAAATCAGTATTTTTCACTAACTTTATTGAAACTTGTAGCACCTGATCCTATAGGAGACCCATGACCTAAAGCTTAGAAGGTAACTTAGCTTTCACTTCTTCAAAAGTAAAACTTTCACCTACCTTATTTATTTCAATAATTGTTTTATCCCAACCTGCATCCGTAATAGATGCAAGATCTCCACCATCATCATTCCTCTTCATCTTCCTAATAGGTTTAGATGCATCTAATTGAGACATTTAAAGCATCTAATTGAGAAAGAACAAGAAACAAAATGTACCTTCAACCAATTTTGTAGTATTTCAAAATTATCCACAACAACACATTTTTTTCTCATCATCACAGCCAAATCCAGAGGTATTCATCATGTCATATGCAGAGGAATACTTTTATTTATGATGCTTCACTTTATTTTGTATATGTTTCGCCTCTATAAAAATGCTAGGAATATTTTCTCGCATCTTGGAGGCAATCGTTACAAAAGTACCAGCCCTAAAACTGCCAGTCTCACACTTAACACCATCAGCAACCATCTTCTCGAGAACGGTAAGTAGTACATCCTTCTCATGATTATTCCAATTGAGTGAGGTCACCATATAATCTATCAAATAAGCCATACATTACATAGGCAACAAAAAAAAACAAATTGTTATAAGAAGTCATATATCATTGAAAAATAAATTGTTATAAGAAATAAATTGTCTTCAAACAATAAAAAAAAAACAATTATAACAATTATCTCAATAGTAAACAATAAAAAACAATTACAACACCTCTTTTTTTTTTTTTTTGGGAAAAGTTGTGATATTTGATTCATTTAAAGAGAATCCAAAATAAATTCATAACCATGTATAAAAAGTTGGGGTGAGTTTTAACAGAGCCAACCAACATCAACAATTACATTTGTTAGAAAGCTAAACATCACATATAATCATTCAACAAACTGTCATCAAACAATAAAAAACAATTACAACAAATACCATTTCAACTAATTTTCAAGCCATCATTCTTCTCCACTCATCATATATTTCTTTTGCAAGATCATCCTTTCATTGAGTCCATATTTAGCTTGACTCAACAGTTTCAATGTAGGCTAATACTTCTGGTAAGTCTTCTCTATAGGCAATTCATCAAATGCAAGCCTTACGTGTTCCTCAAGGTCAACTGCCAAATATATTTTGATAAAATTATAAAGTACACTACATGATGTAATCATTCGTCCCTAAATCTTGATTAGATAGTGTAGAAGACTCTGCAAGATAAGCCAACATCTTTTGAGGAGGCTAAAACATCTCTCAATAACATTCCTAACATGTGAGTGTTTCATATTAAAATATTCTTCATGAGTCTGAAGTGCACGTGAATTGTCTCACCACTCTTGCAAAATGGTATATAGTACCTCTATACAGTGCCAAAAAACTTTCACCAATTATTTATCCAGAGTCAACAAATAGTATGTACCTATATTAGTTAATAATAATTTTTAGCTGTTGGCCAACAAAAGTGAGGAAGAAAACTAGGGACTTGTCTATCTTACTGGTTAGGACCTTGAGGCCATTAGCTCTAGTAAAATGTCACTAACAACTCTCGAATCAGTAGCCGATCCCTTCCAATCGAATAACACATATACGAATTTGAGATCATGTGTGCATACGCCTAACACATTAGTTACCATGTGACCCTTCCTTACTCGATATCTTGGTCTATCGACCTCAGGCACAATGACCCCTATGTATGTTCCATCTAGCGCTCCTAAACAACCCTAGACAAAAGAAAAAGTTATATTAATTATATTAATCAACAACTACAAATAATTATATTATTAATGGTTTTACTACATTGCTTACTTTAAAGCATCTCCATCTCAATTCCGTGCAATCATTTGGGATGGTCTGTCACTTTGCAATTTATATGTAAGACTCAAAATGCACAATATGGTTGTGTGGCACAATTTGCACATTTTAATATCAAATTATTAAGTGGAAAACAATAATAAAAAAATAATAATTTGCACAACAAGACCTTTTCTATTTGTTTAAATCAGACAAATGACTCTCCAAAACCTTCCAATAAACCCATTATTTTCTCATAATCATCCTATTTTTCCAGAAAATTGAAATTTTCCATTGAAAATGAAGAACACAAAAAACTCATTATTTCCGACATCACCATTCAGTAAAAAAATTAAAAAAACCCTCAATCCCAACACAATCAAACGCAGGATTCAATCGTTTTTCCATACAAACAAAAAGTAAAACCCAAACAAGAAAAGCAAAATCAAAGATTTACAGAGAGCAAAATCGAACCTGAAACCTAAAGACGCAGAGATGCGGTCCCACTATGGGGAAGAAGAGAGGCTACATGAGAGGAAGAGAATGCGGAAAAGGAAGGCTGCGAGAGAGAAGATGATATAATTAGGTTTGTTTTATAACTTAGATACTTAAAATATTGAAAAAGATAAGGGACATTTTTGTCTCAAAAATTTATAATTTTGTGTTCCACAAGATAGAACGAGTTCGTTCTAGGAGGAAAGTGAAATGAAAATTTAACCAAAATCTGTTCCACATGATAGCGCGTACCAGGGGATTTGGTGTACCAAATGTGGGATGGGCGTGTTTTGTCTCACTGCAATTTGTGTCATCCCACATATCGAATGGTACCTGATAGATAGTTCTTATACATATGGTTTAATATCATGTGACATTTTCATCTATCATGCAGAGCAATGAAAGCAATTTTGTGTTGTGCAATACTTTTATTTTTTTGTTTTGGTAGGATGTTGTGGATGAATTAACTTCTACAATAAAAGTATATTTATCTTGAGCTTCTACTCAAAAAAGGTGCGAGATAACAACTCTGTTTTTGTTTTTTTTTTCAATTAACCATTTTAAAGGAGTGCATTATACTTTTTCTGTGTTAAACAAACAAAGTGGATGGTGGGAACATTACAACACGTTACAAACCAAGTTGAATATGTATGTGGATCCTTATTTCGAAAAGGCTAAAAAATTGGTAAGTCGCTAATTATGTAGTAAACCTCTTATCCTTTAAATTTTGTTTTACACCCTAACTTTGTAATTTTTGTTTGTTTTTGTTTTGTCTTTTTTGAAGCATGTGAAAATTTTTGATTACTTTAAGTACATGAAATATAATGTTTTGAGAATGAGAACTCTATTTGCAAACATATCATGAAAAGTGATAAGGTTTAGATGTTGTTGTACAAGCTTAGCCATGATGACAAAGAATTTCTCATGTGTCTGAGACAAACTAATGTTGTGTATCCATTGAAAGCAAGCAGATCATGCTCACAACATTTTCCTAACATGTAAGTTTCAATTTCATCTTTATTATGCCTATTTGTTGATGACTTGATGATAAAATGTAATATTTCCCATTATCTTTATTGAAGCATCAGTAGTAACATGCTCACTATGTTTTTTTTTTTTTTTTTCATAAACATACTTGAAACCCTTCAACTACATACTTCATCAATCTTTGTTTGAACTCACTGACACCACTTGGAAATTCTTTACCAACATGACTAATGTAGTTTCTCCACTCATGGGACAAATATGCCTTCCCATGAGGAGTGGCAAACTTACCTAAATATGCACAATCATCTGAGGGTTTTATGCCTTCATAGGTAAAAATCTATTTATCATGGGGAACTTAGAAATGGGACCAAGTTGTTCAACTTGTTCAGCCATGGAAACACTTACAACAATAAATGCTATGTTTTCAACACAACATGAAAATTTCATTACACTCACATCCATGTCAGGTTGCAGCAAACAAGATTGCAGTTGTCCTAGAAAGTACATCAACACCATGACTTTAGGACTTAATCCCCCAAATTGGGAGCAAATTTGTTCAGCAATGTCTGTGTACTTAGTATGGTTAAATACTGGAATTAATAGGTTCTTGCTTTCAAAAGTGCATTTTGCAATGATAGCTCGTTCCATAACTAAACAATATAAAACATAGGAAATAACATTAAATATAATAGGTTGAAAAAGAAATAAACTCTCTGAGTCATGAATTTATGGTTACTGAAATTAAAAGAGAAAACAATTTTGAAAGAGGCATAAGATACAAATACCTTATGTTAAGTACTAGGTTTAATGTTTGGCTTCCCTTGTAAAAAATTGTAAATGTTACCTCACATGCTCATAATTTAGGGTTAGAATACAATGCTAATATGAGATTTCTATTGGGATTGAACATGTTAAAGCACCAGCCTTATACAACACAAAAGGTTTGAATCATAGATTTGTATTTGCATATCAAGCTTATTTTTCTACATTCTTTTTGTTTAGTGCAGTTGTTTAGTCATAAATTATATATACTAAAACTCAGTTGAGTTTTAGCACTGTTCAACAATAGTGAAAGGGCGGAAATGCCCCTGAATTTTTCTATCCATTACCATTTTGTTGCCTGCTTCACACAATAAAATACTTATATTGCCCATAATTGCCACGTGTTGATCATCCTTTGTCTTCCCAGGTTGCATGTCTATGATCGTTGAGTTGTGGCATAAAGAATGATATAATAATTAATTAAAAAACTGACAAAAAATTATTTAAAAAATATGACTTAAATCAAGCCACATGGTTTGTAGCTCACAACACAATAAAAAATTATAAGAACATTGAATGCATGGACAAAATAATTATTAAAATTTGTGAGAAACCCACCTGTCCCCATTGCTTTGCCTTTTGATTGTTTTATTTTTTTTATTTTGCTCGGCTTTTTGTCTTCCACGCCTAGTCTCCTGCAATAGGTGGCATGGAACACAGTTTGTGGCACAAAGCATAATAAAATATTATAAAAACATTTGAATGCAGAGTGTGGGCACAAAGAAAGATAAAATAATAATAAAAAAAACTGACAACAAATATTTAAAAATATGAGTTAATCCAGGTTTGTGGCACATAACACAATAAAAAATTATAAAAATTTTTGAATGCATGGAAACCAAATATTAAAAATTGTGAGAAGCCCCGCTGTCTTCCACCTTGCCTTTGGTTATTTTATTTTTTGGTTTTGCTCTGCTTTTTGCAAAGCTACACAACCAGCACTAGAAACAATGATTAGGTTAGTATGCTTTCAAGTTGTTTTATCTTTTCCTCTATTACCATTTAAATGTGATACTAAATCCTATCTAAATATGTTCTATTATATTCCTCTTTGTTCAGGTTGCTTTATCAATGACAACAAGGGCTGAAGACACCTTTCACTACTCTGATCAAGAATGTTTATCGTGTTTTATTTATCTATATTAAATCATGTTTAACATGTTTAAAAACCTCTACATATCTTTTTTTGCCCAAACTCAACAATATTATTTGCATCTCCTCATTTTTTGTATGCAAAAGCTAGAACACAGTATATTAGATGGGGTTATTAGAAGAAATTCAATTATTGTAATGTTTTTTGTATCTTTATACTAGGAATTTCTATTTTTTGTAACTTAATGTAATCTTCTTGGTCTAGAAATACATACAATTGCTAGAATATAATGGATAACTATAATTTGTATCTTTATATTATCAAAATTTAACTTTTCCAGTTAACGCTTTTGCATATTCATTATTGTTATCATTGTTCCTATTTTGTAACCGAATTTTTTTCATTTTTAACATCTTATCTTAACTTCAAACCCGCAACAACGCGCGGGTATTAAGCACTAGTTTCGTCTGTTATCCAGCTGTCTAGGCACACAGATTAAGATAACTCACATGGGCTATCTAACACTTTCCCGAAAATGGATTTTTAGCCCTAGATCTTTCCAGATTGATTTTACACATGACACATGGCTTTTCATCCCCTCTCTTTGTCTGAAATTCATCCATCTTTATAAAAATCATTCTAGGGTTCATTTGTTGTTGGGGTTTGAGATTGGAAAAGTTTTTGAGAGTTTTATTTTCATCTCCATCTCATATCTCCTAGTAGTATCAAACATATTTTATGGGTGATGTTCTTCACTGAATATTTCTAAACCTATCTTTAAGTTTGCTTGCTTAAATTTGTTTTAATGCTCATTTGTTTTGGCTATGAGTTTTACATTTTAGAAAAAGTTGATTTTTAGCTTTGAGCTGCCTCTTGTGTTTTTACTTGATAATCATAGCCACAAAATCATACTCATGCACTAAAAACCCACATCATTGCATATGGTGGCATTGTTTTTGTGATTTTGATTTCTGTTTCAGGTCAAGTTTTTTTTCCAAGTTTCAAATTTGTGAACTGACCTGTTTTGGATTCTCATTAGTTTCATCTTTCAAGTGTTTCATTGGTGAAACTGACTAGACATCAAATCTAGATTTGTATATCATTGTCATATCATCATATGCATAGTTTGTGTGTTGGTCTCGGTGCCACAAGGTGAAGAGTTCAAGATGAGCTGCCATCTTGTGAAGATTGGAGACAACACTATTTTGGTGCCATAAGGTGAATAGCTTGGGAGGAGCTACCACTTCGTGAAGACTGAAGGAATCCATCTCGTGTATGGCAATGTTGCACAAAGGTAAAGTTGCTCCGTAGGTAGGGATCTAAGAATTGAGCTTGTGTGGTCTTTGTATGAACCTTGATTATACTAGCGAATTGAACTCGGTGGAGAGTCTCTGGTTTTTTAACCCAGATGTGGATTTTTCTGGCAAAAAACTTCCTTATGTTCAATACTATATATAGCATTCTTTATGACCAGATAACCATTGTTGGAGATAAACCTTGTAGAGTTTGCTAATATTGACACGTGTTAACCAAGTAAACATAACTCAAGAATCAATGCTAAAACATAACTGGAGTTCAACTGTCTTGTTTTAGCTTTATTAGTTTGATTGGTTTATATGCTTGTGGGCACCTAACAATCTGTACTCAATTGACACGTTTGACTAGTCAATACAGTTGATTTCAAAGTTTACACTACATATTATGAGCAATGAACTGAATTGTTGTTAACTAGGATAACTTGTAGTGAACTAAGTTTGATTCGTAGATTTGCGTTTGTTTAATAGATACAAATATGTACTTAGTTGATTGGTGAGATTGACTAGTCAATCCATCATGCTTTAATTTATAATTGATTTGTCATTGCTGTTTGCATAATGAACTGATATGTAAATGTATTCAAGCATATGGATTATTATCGTGAAATTAATATGGGCAAGCTCTGATTAGTTGAACATATTAGCCAGTTAGGTTTTGCAACTGCACTTTTTATCATTGACTAACTTGTAACTAGTTGACTAGCTCATTTGACTAGTCTAGTGTGCAAAGTTAAATTTTTATTTGCAGAAGATTCTGCCTAATACCCGATTTCAGCTTCCGTGCACTAGGTTTTTTTGTAGATAAAAGAGAAGGAATCATATATGTTTTTTTGAAAATAAAAGAGAAGGA